ATTATCACTTAAATTTATCTTTCAAATAATAAAAAAACCCAAAATTTCTTACATAAATTGCGAGGAAATTTACACACTTTTTTCTTTAAGTAAAGCACAATTTTAAGAAATGATATATTTTGAAAGATGAAAATTTATATAAATAAATCACAATTTTAAGAGTATTATGTTTTGGGATACATTATTTCTTACATCGTTGTGACATTTCATATATTTGATTGGATTCTTTCATTTTTATTTTCTATTTTTGGTTTTATAGAATTTTTTTATAGAATTTTTTTAGTTTCTTACTTTGAACATTTTTATTTACACTTGCAATATCTTTCCTTTATTTTTCTTTTTTATTTCATTTTGTAAGACAAAAAAACTATACAACTACATACACTACAATTGAAAAAATGCAAAAAGGTCCCTTGTAATTTTTCAAATGTCCCTAGTGCTGTAGTTATTTTTAGGCTTTTAAATAAGAGAAAATTATTATATATGGTTAAAAAGAAGTGAGGCATGATTTTTTTTATTAGAAATTTTATTATGACAAATAGAAAAAAAGAATTTTCTGATTAAATTTTGCTCTCGTCAAAATATCCTCCTTTAGCCTTGATTGCTGCAGCACAAATTTTTGGCATTCGTTGCAAAAGTTTCTCAAAGTATAAGTTTGATAATTGATTCCATTCTTTTTTCAATGATTGTAAGAGGTCTTTTTTAAAAAAATTTTTCACTCTTCTCTCAAGTTTATCCTATGCTAATTCTGGAAGTGGCTTCAAACTTTTGAACTGTAGTGTACAAGCAAATATACTCGGGATAAAGATTTCTATGGTTGTCTGTAATATGTGAGTGAAAGTTAATTTATATAACTACAGTGTAACCCGGATGTAAGAGACCCGGATATAAGAGAAACCCGGATATAAGAGAGATTTTTCTGGTCCCAAATTAGAGCCTGTGTTAATGTATATAAAATAGACCAAACCTATATATAAGAGAAACCCGGATATAAGAGAGATTTTCTGGTCCCAAATTAGAGCCTGTGTTAATGTATATAAAATAGACCAAACCCGGATATAAGAGAAACCCGGATATAAGAGAGATTTTCTCTGGTCCCAAATTAGAGCCTGTGTTAATGAATATAAAATAGACCAAACCCGGATATAAGAGAAACCCGGATATAAGAGACTTCTTCTCTTAAAACAAATACACTTTAATAAAAAAAAAATCGAAGAAAATCATTGGACACTGCATTTTGGTGAGGGCAATCTTAAGATAAAATTCGTGAAACACAACATGTTTGCAAAAATTTGTAATATCATAATGGGAAAACATTATATATAAGTTCTGTATATAAGACTAAGGGTTGGTATTGAATGACAAAATTTGAAAAAAATCCTGTAAAAAATCCGTTACGTCGTTTTGATCTGAGTAAGGGCGCTTTTGAAAGACAAAACGCGTTACATTGGATTTATTTCAATTTTATCATTCAATTACACACCAATATTATAATTGGAATTAAATAAATCCATTTTTTTTGGGGAAGGCGGGTGTCACCTATGTTTTAAAAGGCGTCATTGGTTGATGTTGGAATATATAACCTTTGATTAATATTAAGTTTGTAACAAACTGGTAATGTCATTTTGCTTTAATATTTGATCCTGATTATATGGGATCTTTCTTATTTCAAAGTATACACACACACACATACACACACATACATATATACATATATATATATATATATATATATATATATATATATATATATATATGGTACTTCCATTGGAAAAGTTCAATATCAGTGATATTAACATATTTTTGGATTGATGTTTGTTTGTGAAATTGGGTTTCATGCTCTCTGCGATCGTCAGACAAACTCTAACGATCGCAGAGAGCGTGAAATCCAGGGTCTCAAACTCACATCCCTCCAACTAAATAAATATGTACATATATATATATATTTGAATAATTGAATAAAAAATTTAAGCAATATATAGGCAATATAAATATTAGTCAGTAAATATTCGCGGAAAGATATTCTTCCATATTTGATGTTTTTTACTTTCAGATTAATTCCATGAAAAGATAATTTAAATATGCAAAAATAATGTGTTTTTTTTATATATTAGCAATAGTTTTTTTATTTTAATATCTATATGAATATAGTTTTCTAAAACTCCTGAAAAAAGTAACAATTATTAAATACATATAATTTGTATTTTTTGTGATATTTAAAATAAAAATAAAAAAATAAACACACAAAAGAACAGTACTATTGCAGGAGAGATTTTTTAGGGTTTTATTCAGTATTTAACGGAAGCAAAATTGATTCCACGCAACTGTTTCAATGAGCACTGTACTTGTAAAATTTGTAATATAGTAACAGCAAATGTATCCATTTAAGTTGATTTGGTAGCTAAGTGTAAAACTTCTTAGGTATAAATTTTTCTGTTGTAGCCTTTTTTATTTTTTAAATTATTTTTTGTTTGCTAACATCCTTTATTATCTTGCATTATTTCCTATTTTAATTTTCATCTTTATTTTCTTAATTTCTTTTGATGCCTTTTCTTTTTCTTTGTCCACTAACATTGCATTTTTTTAAAAAAAATTCTTCCTTATTCATTCTTTTATATCCGTATTCTTTTGTTACCTCTATTTTTTTCGATTTGACTGCTCCATGACAAATTTAAATGTGCTTTTTTGTTCGATTTAAAGTTATTTTCTGCATGCTAATCTATTTTAACTTTCGATATTTTTCCTTATTTCTTAAAACAGATATCTTTGTCATATTTTATTCATTCTCTTTTTTTTTATCTTCTTTCATATTGTATTCCTTTTTTTCATACACATTTATTTTCTTTCCATCCCTAATTTTTAAATTATTCTTTTGTCATTCTTTTTTATCGAATTCTTTTTGCTTATTTATAATTTGCAGCAGTTTTCATCGACTTTATTCATATTTGACATTTTTTCATAGCTAATATCTAATTCATCCTTAATAGTTCTTTTCCTTTCGTATTTAAACCGTCTTTTCACAATTATCTTATAATTTAAACCTCATTCATCGTGTACAAATTTTTCGTTTTTATTTCAGACTGGGGACTAAGCATTTCTATTTTTTAAAGCTTTATATTTTTTTATCAGCGTCTTCACTAACATCTTAAGCTAGTTTTACATTAGATTTTATAATTCTTTTTCGCGTTCGTCTTTTTTACTTATTCATTTTCAATTTTACATTCCAATTTTATTTACTTTTTGAATTAGTTTTCTTTCTTTTTTTTTCTTCTTATTCCTATGTATGTTTTTCTGTTGACGTTTTAAGTTATTTTGTGCCTGATGAATTATTTTAAAGTCTTCATTTTTTCTTTTATTTTATTAATATCTATATTTAAGTCCTTATAATCATTAAAATTCCATTCTTTTTTATTCTATTCACATTATCGTTTTCCTCGCATTTATTATCAATTTTAAGTGAATCATATATTTTTCTTTAATAATTTGCTCCAATTTTTTCATGGGTATCTTCCTTTTTCATTTTTCATTCACATTTAAAAAATGTTCATAATTCATTAATTTAAAAAATTCATATTTCATCAATTTTTCAAAAAAAAAAAAAATAATCATATCAAACGTTCATATTTCATTCATTTTTGTAAAAAGTGTTCATATTTCATTCATTTTTGTAAAAAGTGTTCATATTTCATTCATTTTTGTAAAAAGTGTTCATATTTCATTCATTTTGTAAAAAGTGTTCATATTTCATTCATTTTAAAAGCATCTTAATATTTCATTCTTAAGTAAAACATATTCATAATTTCTACATTTTTAAAAACATGTTCATATTTCATTCGTTTTTAGAACATATTCATATTTCATTAAATTTTAAAATCATGTTCATATTTTATTCATTTTAAAAGCATCTTTATATTTTATGTAATCTTAAAACAGGTTCGTATAACATTCATTTTTTAATGTTCGCATTTCATTAAATTTTAAAAATACGTTATTTCATTCATTTTTAAACGCATGTTCATATGACATTTTTTAAAAATCATGTTCATATTGCATTAAATTTTAGAAATACGTTATTTCATTCATTTTTTTTAACGCATGTTCATATGACGTTTTTAAAATCATGTCATATTGCATTAAATTTTAAAATACGTTATTTCATTCATTTTGAAACGCATGTTCATATGACATTTTTAAAAATCATGTTCATATTGTATTAAATTTCGAAATACGTTATTTCATTCATTTTAAACGTGATGTTCATATGATCTTTTTTAAAAATCATGTTCATATTGCATTAAATTTTAGAAATACGTTATTTCATTCATTTTTAAACGCATGTTCATATGACATTTTTTAAAAATCATGTTCATATTGCATTAAATTTTAGAAATACGTTATTTCATTCATTTTTAAACGCATGTTCATATGACTATTTTTAAAAATCATGTTCATATTGCATTAAATTTTAGAAATACGTTCTTATTTTATTCATTTTAAACGCATGTTCATATGTCATTTATTCTTTAAAACATGTTAATATTCCATTTACTTTTAAAAACATGTTCGAATTTTTCATTAATTTTTATAACATTTTTATACTTCATTTAGTTTTCAAACCTGTTCATATTTCCTTCACTTTTTTTTATAAACATGTTCACATTTCATTCATTTTTAAAAAGTATTCGCTTTTGAACTTTGATTTATCTTAATAGTTGTACTCTAATTTTTGTCATGTTATTTCAAATGAAAAGGTTTTATATTCTTATAAGTTCCATAATCTTTTCTTATTTTTTAAACTATATATCTTTAGATATTTTATTGCTTTTCAAGATTTTCCTGTTCCCTGTTTATGGCCTTTTGCCTCTTTCATTGCTTACTTTTATACTGCTCTTTTAATTTCTTCTCTTTTCATCTTTATTCTTGTATACTTCTCTTTAAAGAACACTCACTCGGTCCCTGAAAGATTCCAGGGAAAAAAAGCAAACTTAATAAAATTGTTTATGACTTTGCATATAAAGTTTAAAGATACAAAAGCGCGAATTTATCTATCTATCTATCTATCTATCTATCTATCTATCTATCTATCTATCTATCTATCTATCTATCTATCTATCTATCTATCTATCTCAGCCTGTTTATATCTATCTATCTCAGCCTGTTTATATCTATCATCTATCATTCATCTATCTATCTATCTATCTATCTATCTATCTATCTATCTCATTTCATTCATATCTATCTATCTATCTCAGCCATCTATCTATTATCTATCTATCTATTCATCTCATATCTATCATATCTATCTATCTATCTATCTATTGATTCTGTATCATCTATCTATTCATCTATTTTATCTATTCTATCTATCTATCTATCTTCTATCTATCCACATCTATCTATCTATCTATCTATCTCAGCCTGTTCATATCTATCTATCTATCTATCTATCTATCTATCTATCTATCTATCTATCTATCTATCTATCTATCTATCTATCTCAGTCTGTGTATGTGTCGAATAGTATGTCTGTTGGCTAATCCTTTCGTCTCCTGCGATTGTATATCTATTTCTATTAATTTTCACTTGCGCCTGCATTGGGTTATGTGTACATAACGTCCTTTTCCAGTTGACAGTGTTGACCTTTGACTCGCTATTCTTTTATTATCTGAAGCAAGGATTAAGAGATTATCTCCCTCATTTCATAACATTTCAAAGCGAGCATAATTGAAAACAAAACAAAACAATATTTCATTCTCTCACGTAACAAATTCGATTATAACTTGAGAAGTTATATGCTTATACAATTTTAATCACGGAGAATCCCGTTAATTAAAAATACTGCCAATTTATATATGAACATCTGAGTGTAAATTTCCTCGTGTTTAAATGTTCTTGTAGGTTAAAAACAGTAACTTAAAATCATATGAATATGTGTATATAAAAGAAAGAGGTTGTAGTGGTTCCAACGAGAGAAAAGTATGTATATTAAAAAACCAAAGAAAAACAAAAAACATACATGTATGTATGTATGTATCCATATATATATATATATATATATATATATATATATATATATATATATATATATATATATATATATATATATATATATTTCTTCGTGTGCATGTATAGTTTATATATAAGATACGTATATACATTATATTTGGCTCAAGGAGAAATAATAATAAAAAGAAATAATCTCAACGATTTTAACATTAATTATAAATAATAAAATGTTCATTTATAAAATAAATTTAATTTCACCATATATATACACATACATACATACATACATATTATATATATATATATATATATATATATATATATATGATAAAATGTAGTTTAAGGTATGCTATATAAACAGTTTAAAGTGCACAATATCAGGGATAGAGCGTATGCAAATATAAATGTAGACAACTTAGCAGAGACTCAGTATGAAACAGACTGTCACCATTCATTTGATGACCTTTTTTTCCCACACACACTTTTCACACACACACACATATATATATATACATACATACATACATATATATATATATATATATATATATATATATATATATATATATATATATATATATATGTATATATGTATAAATCGTTTGAAGTAATAATGAAAATAATGATAATAAAATAATATATATATATATTTATATATATATACATAATAAATAATAATATACGAAACATAAATAATAATATTATGATTTATTAATACACTAAAATTATACAATTCTAGGTTTTGTACTAATAAATTACACGATAGGTGTATAGAATATTAAATAATGAATCAGAAAGCATAAATATCATTACTTATCTTAGGTCAAATCTGGTTATTGATCTACGATTATATATATATATATATATATATATATATATATATATATATATGTATATATATATATATATATATATATATATATATATATATATATATATAATATATATATATATATATATATATATATATATATATATATATATATATATACACACGCACAGACACATATATTTGAGAGTGTGTGTGTGTGTCTGTGTGTGTGTGTGCCAGTGTATGTTGTGTGCAGCTGGCAGTTGATGAAATCTCCTCAGCCCAGACCACTTTCTTAAAATCAGTCGAAATAACCAGACCTCAGAATATTGTAACTGAAAAGTTCATTTGTTTTGTTCAGGCTAAGAACTTTTCAACACAATTAAAAAAATAAATTCATAAATGCATTCTCACTTTCATGTATTTATGTCTGTTTGAAGTAAAAACCCACATCTCCCCTTTATAGATAAAAATAAAATACTAACGTTTTAAATATACCGGTTGCGATGGGTAAATTGACGCTATTTTATGCTTAATTTCGCGCATGCGCTTTGTTTTTGATTTTGCACATTATATTAGGGTCAGTTGGGCACCTTCTGTGACTTCAATGGTATTCGCCCCGGAAGCTAAAATACGAACATTTCAGAGTGTTTGGATATTAATCAGTGTAGAGGATTCGGAAAGAGTTCGATGAGTCTAATGGTGATTACGAAAAGTACAGCAGCTGGGAAAACACTCTGATCGTTCTGATTAGAAAAAACTTCTGAATTCCTTGTTGAGGACCTCAGACTAAACACGGAGTCCTACCTCAATTGCCCTGAGGTCGTAGTTCTGCTCTGGGTCAAGAGGTTGTCTTCTGGAAGAACCTATATCTGCCAACAAGATGCTACACAAACAGTCATAGCTCTCAGACAATTTCTGCGACCATATCAACCCTTACATCTGGCCAACTAACTCCTCAGATTGCAACCGCCTTGATTATTATGCACAGTTGATCGATAAACCAACAAAACTCCTTGTAACACGAAAGATGAATTGAAGGCAAGCATTCACCAACTTAAACAAGGAGACCGTCCAGAAAAGTTGCAGGAGATTCCTAAGTCGTCTGAGGCTGTGGTTGAAAGCAATGTCAATTTTATTGAATAAATTTACTCAGTAGTATTTCAAGATACTTTTGTGTAATTTTGGTAAATATATCTGTTAAAATGAGATGTCAGTCTTATTTTCATACTTGCGTAATTTAAACGACAATTTATCCATCGCACCCGGTATATGTATTACCGTGGGTGTGTTTATGCATTAGCATTTATCTCAACTACATTAGATTCCGGGATTTATGATATAAATGCTTGCAACGTTAGAAAACTAAATAGGCGAAACATGTAAAAATCTAACAGCCCGCATCTTCTCAAATAAGAGAGACTTACGTTGGGAGAAACACTTTGAAATTGCTCGTAACATGCAGAAATAAACTAGATCATAACTTCGATTTAATAAATGCTATTAATTAGAAAAGAACGTAATTTATTACGGGGGAAATCCTTAGAAGGAATCCTGATAAATATTTTCCCATCTATAAATACACATAAAACCCATGTCATTATATCACCAAATTTCATAAAATCTGTACTTGAAGAATCTAAGCACCGTCTATCGACAACCACAACCGGTGTAACCTAAATTCTTTCACTCCCACACGAAACATGTCCCAATCAACATACGGACACTACCGAAAATGAGAATACCCACTAAACTTGCATATGCACATACATTATAAACCAGATCCCACATAGAACAACTTGAATTATGATACACAATCACACAAGAATTATACGCATAAACGCTACCTGACAAGACAAATACACGTGATGTCTACTTAACCAATGAAAAACAAACATAAAAATACTAAAATTTTCTTTTCTCCTTTATATTTAATTTCTGATGAAGCTTATATAAAATCGAAATATGTTAAATTTATAAACGTTTTCTATTTGTTCCTTATCCTATCATATATATTACTGTAGGTGTGTTTATGTATATACATATTCCTCTACTATAGACATATAAGTATTCACATAGGCGCATACACACACGTACATGAACTGGCGTGATGTCTTTTATCACCTATAGAAAGAAACTCTAAAATAACACACAAATGTACAATTTAAAATGATTTGAAAAGTGAATGCAGTTAGTTCATGTTCGGTCACTGTGTTTCGTCCACCTTCCAATAAATGACTTGTAAACGACATGGATCCATTATTTCTCCACAAATGATTATGGTTTAAATAGCATTGTAGATTGTACTCTTTGGCCTTGAATGGCAGCCAGTCTAGGCGAAAGATAACTCTTATTTCCAAATTGTGGAAAAGCAAAGGGAAACCACTCTATTATCTTTTCCAAGAAGTCATGGCAGTTTGCAAATAATAAAGAAATTAATTCTGTGGAGACATGCCTATGTCCTGGATGTACATGACATTAAAATTGTACGCATGAAATCAAAACATTTTGATATTTACATGTATATCATTTTTTGAAAGATAGTAATTAACAATAAATTGATTTCATACAGCAATTCAGATAAATCCTCCTTATCTGCAACATCAATGACACCTTATACCAACGTTACGTTCAGAAGGTTCTTACTTATATAAAATAACAAGAATTGAAGCAGATTTTGATGACTGATTGATTGATTTGCTTTTACGGTTTATCAACCTTTTGCAGGTAATTTAAAGTCAGAAAATATTTTTAGATTGTAAGGATATTTGGAGATAATAAGGATTTACTGATACAAGCCCTGCTAATTAACCCATAGCCGGGGGAAGCAGAGTTTGTTTCATACCCTTCCCAAGGGTATTTTGGCGTAAGTGGATATAACGAATCCGGCTAGAACTAGAACTCTGATTTCCATTTCCAAGCCGTTATCCATATTACACCACCTGCACATCCAAGCTTACGCATCTGATATTCCCAAGTGGTCACCCATCTAAGTACTGATCAGGCTCGATGTTGCGTAACTTTGATGATGGTATGGTGTTTCAACGTGAGATGGTTGTCAGCTGGCTTTTGAAGATAATGCAAATATATCAAAATATTGACAATAGCAATTACAATCCTCAATCTTTCAGCTTGATTAATTACGAAATTAATCAGGATAGAAAATTTCAAATTTGAAAGAAACTACCGTAATCTTCTGTGTATAAGACGCAGCTATTTTCGTCCAAAGTCGTGTGCAAAATTCAGCTGCGTTTATTTTTGTTATATAAGTGTTCGTTTATTTTGTAAACATGTGTATGTATATATAGTTTTCTTGTGTGTGTGTGTGTGTGTGTGTGTATATATATATATATATATATATATATATATATATATATATATATATATATCATTTTGAGAGAAGCACACGAAAATGGAAACAGATCTAAGAACACACAGGAGTCATTAAAACATTAAAGGTAAAATGCCGATAAGTAATTCATCATTTCTCTTGGATCAATCTTAATTGTTTTATGAGCCTTCACGCAGAACTCTTCATTGCCAAATCAATAAAGACATTCGGATTACTAACACAAAAACAGAGAAAGTCTCATATCGAGAATATTTAACATTGAAAAACATAAAGGAGAAAAAAATTAATTATTTTTAATAATATGTGGAAATCTTCGCTTTTTACCTGAAGACGGTCGCGAGACCAGAAACCCGTAGTAGTAAAATTAT